AAGGGGTAAAAAAAGCACTAATTTTTCAAATGTCCATAATTTGGTCAATTTTTGTCGGATTTCGTTCTAGTTAGGTATAAGCCATAGGGAATATTATCAACTTTAACCACAATAAAAAATTTCATTTCAGTTCACCACCAGAGGGTGTGCACTCAAAGTTCTGCAGCAAAACCTGATTGACACTCCTCCACGCGAGCCGCCATTTTGAGCCGCCATTTTGTTTTTTTACCTTCAAAAAATTTCCAAGTATTCAGGAATAGTGGACAAATATAATTATCGAAACCGGAAGTTCGTATGTCTTTTCATTCTCCAAAGTTCAACTGTTTTTCAGCCAAATCCAAGTAAACCTCCCCTTAACTCTTGATCGAAAATCCATAACCGCCGATTCAAATGTGCAGCGATCCCATCTGTCAAAACTATAGAAATGTTTTATCTAGATAAAAATAATTTGTCCGAAATAGATTAGACACGAACCAACTCAAAAAATTTTGTACGCGTGTTCGTGGCTAGGATAAATATTTTTCGCGAACACGGCGGTAGATGTCAGTTTTGTGCTTTGATCAGAAATTTCTTTGTAATTTGTATGATCATTCATGTCGGTTTGTCGGTGATAACATGTTATAACCAACAATCAATACGAAACTAACGATTTTAAATTGGCTCACCACTTTAGTAGCCTATTGGTCCCAAGCAAACGATTAACGTACCCTATTCTAGTCGAAATTCTAGTACTACGCAATGTTTGTTTTGATTCGCTATGAAAGTTTGACAGATAAAATGAGGGGTTATTGGTTTTTCCTATGTTTCGAGGGGTGATTCGACAAGCTTGGGACCGAAGATAGTACCAGAGGTGAGCCAAAAAGTTGAGCACGTTTCTTCGGGACCTACTTGTCTTAGAGTTACCTCTATGTTATAACTCTGTAGTCTGAACGTACTATAAGCTTCAATCGGTATTATCCTCGGATTAAATCCCGATCAAGAATGTCCGGCTGCTTGATGTCGACATCCAAACAGGGACGGTATTAAAAGTTAATACGAGTTGGAGCTTACCGGCATGAGTGTTTCTAGTGGAAACCTAAGAGGTGGAAACTAACGATTTTAAATTGGCTAAGGGGCTGTTCATTAATTAAAGTTGTACGTAGACAGTTTTTAAGGATGCCTTGACCCTCACTTTAGCTCTCAAACTTAGTTTAGTACTAGAATTTCTTCTAGAATGGGGTACGTTAATCGATTTGCTTCCGACCAATACAGTAGTGAGCTAATCTTGGAACCATTTTAAAATCGTTAGTTTCCACCGATTGGTAATAGACCTTTCTCTTTCAGGATTATCTCTTAGTTAGCCATGAAAAGTTCAGACATTAATGGCGGTAAGCTCCAACTCGGATTAACTTTTAATTTCGTTCCTGTTTGGATGATCTGCGAAGTGTTTGCATAGAATCGTGTTGAATAACTCTGATGCCGACATCAAAGCAGCCGGACATTCTTGATCGGGATTTAATCCGAGGATAATACCGATTGGAGCTTACCGCCATAAGGGGGGTAGAGGTTTTCCATTGGGGCTCCTTCCGTCTCCTTTCGTTTCCTCGGAAAGAGAAATAGTTCTAAAGGCGGGTTCGTCCGAAACTTGTTTCTCCATGCTGTCTGCTTTCGGTCTATTAATAGCCACTCCTGGTTGATCGCTTCCTTGACCGGTACACCGGGTAAAAGAGCTATGACGTCAAAAGCTACCATAATCTCTTCTTCTTTGAAGACTCATGAAGATTGTAATTACTGGGCGAACTCCTGGGTGCTACTTGCCTTACTCTGGAACTGATTTGGCATACTCTGGAACTCGGTGACCAGCTACTTCGCTAGTTTGTGGGACGGAGAACCAACTGCAGACACGATCTTTCACATTTCATTCCCCGATTTGGGGAGACCTTTGACCCTGGGTAGAATAAGATTTGATTCCCGTAAACGTACTGCTCCATCTCCTAGCATTGATTTACACTCCTTCGGTGTTTTCTCCACATATGCTTCACAATGCTCTGTAAGGGGTCTACTCGAAGCTGCCTATACGATGCATTGTTAATCTTCTTTGTCATCTAATATATTGTCGTAATCGTTCTTGTCCTTGTTTTTACATACACGGAAAATCAAAACAACTCAAAATTAAGTCATTTGAACTCATCTTGACAGCTAAGTGAAACCAGTCAAAATTGAGTTTTTCGCGAAGAATTCAATTTTAAGTACTTTGCGAAGACTTCGCTTTGAGTAAAATGTACCTGTTCTTAATTTTAATAAAATTAGACGGAAACATTGTTTTTTATGAATGTGTTGATCTGGTCATCTAAAATCAATCATTGTTATTTTATTCCTGGTTATATATATAGTATACATTTAATTAAATTCTTCCTTAATCAATATTAAATGCGTCCTTGGAAGGTTTCCGGTTTTTAGTCACTTTCATCAGCAGTACGTTTTGAAAACATGCACGAACGAGTCCCAGCCACAGTTTGCCAGATAATTCGGTAGTATTCGGTTGCTGTCCAATCCGTAGGTTAACGCCGCAGAACTTTTAAAAGTCGCGGATTCTGAAAAGTTTGCAAACGAGGGAAGATTTAGCAAGTGTTTATATTTCATAATTTACAAACATACCGAGTAGTGCAAAAGTTAATTAGATTCCACTTCCGGATTATGGCTTCCGAAGCACCCGTTGTCAAGACGTTGCATTAGTTAGGACTTTTAGGACCTAGAAATAAATTTAACTTTTGATGTTTGGACATTAAATTACATTCAGCAATCAAACCTCTCCCTCGCATACTTCTCCAGCTGACTTCAAATATGGCGCACGATGCTAGTAATTTTTCACCCAAAATAAAGTCTTATCACAACACTTGATTTTAAGTTAAAATTACTTTTCAATGAGAACAAAATTTAAACCAAAACAATAGTGATAGGCGAGTACTTATTTTTAAGTACTTTCTATCTCGATTTTGAGTTGTTTCGATTCTCCGTGTAATATTGACCAATGCACGGACTGAACTCGCGAACAAATTTGACGTTTGAACGGTGCCGTGTTTACTAAAAATAAACACATGACGTAATGCTCGCGTAGCTTAAGAAAAGTGCCTAGCAACTTTTACAAACAGCTTGTTAGACCCTTTTCACGTGAACCGAAGAACGCCCACGCAAACCAAGAGCACTATCGGGAAGGGAAGAATTTAGCCTACCCGATGGTGTTGTTGATTTGCGTGGGCGTACTTCATTTCGCGCGAAAAAGGCTTAACAAGTTGCTATCAAGATCTTCACATTGAAATTTCGATTTTAAGTAATTATTTAGTTTAGTTAGTCACTCCTGATTGATAATGGTGACCTGCAGGCTTGCCGATAAAGGAGCTTGATTAATCAATTGGGTTGTTTAGGGGTTGTGAGGCATAAACATATTCGTTATCTGCATTAAAAATGGAACCGAAATCAAAAATTCAATCAATTTTGGTACACTGGAACTATTTTAAATAAGTACGATTACATTATCAAAAATCACCATCTTAACGCTCCTTGGTAGGGAGCGAGCTGCCAACGAATAGATTTAGTGTCAACGATCAACAATTTAAATCTTGATTTAAAAATCGAGATGAATGTCTACGGGATCGATAAAAATATACTTGTGCTCAGAAAATGATGCTTTATCAGATGATGTATAAAAATCGGTATATTTTTTCGTAACGTAATCAATATTAAATCATTGCATTTCACGGCACCCATCAACTGTTCGTTTGTATCAAGATCGTCGATGAATTTCGATTATTCATTCGCAGTAACAGTTTGTTGTTCGTTTACATGACGCTTTAAGCTTATCACTCTGTTACTATACTCGAAGTTACTCAATATTTACTCAAAAATTAAAAGCTGTCTTGCCCCTTGGCTGAACTCTCGACAACTCGATAATGAAGGGACCATCGAGTTGTAGAATTATCGAGAACAACAATCCCAAATAAAATCACCATCGCAGTAGCCTTGAAGTTCATTTTTACTTTGGTTCCACAACTCGATGTCCCCTAGCTCGATATAGAGTTATTTCAACCGGTGGAAACTACCGATTTTAAATTGGCTCACTACTTGACTAGCCTATTGGTCAAAAGCAAACGATTAACGAACCCCATTCTAGTCAAAATTCTACTACTACACTATGTTTCTTTTGGTTCCCTACATGCAAGTTTGACAGATAAAATGAGGGGTTCGTGGATTTTCCTATGTTTCGAGGGGTGCATCGATTTGCTTGGGACCGAAGAGAGTACCAGAGCTGAACGCTTAACCCAAATAAATCTTATGGAATGTAAATGAGAAAATGGCCGTCCATAAACTACGTACACAGTTTAGGGGGAAGGGTATTGGAGAATATCTACGGTTTTTTTTTATAATTGTATATGAACAGCTGTCTACACCAGGAAATCTCTCAAAAGCTATGTACGTACTTTATGGACAGACCTTTTGAGGCTATTCAGGATTAAGTCCCTGGTGATATCTCTTTAGTTTTGAAAAGCAGATTACAACACAATATAAAATTTTAATTGTGATTAAGTTTCAACATCTGTTTATCTTGAAAATGAATTCATAAAGCTGTCACTCACTAGATATATCGGTTAAGATCAAGTACGAACGCAATAATTATTTATTTAACTGTTCATAATTATTAACGGAACTATCAACAGACACTGGTGAGCCCACAGCACGGCTATAAATCATTCTAATCAGCGTACACTGTGGAGCTTGATTATTTAAGTTGAAGTATATGAGCATCCAGACTGTAATCAACTGGTACCCGTAAATACCACCAATGCTGCAGCAGTGCTGGTGTGTTCTGCGTCCATTCACAAATATTCTACGTATGGACTAGAAAGCTCGCTGAAGTAGACAAGTAGTAGGTTCAAGCTTATTCGTCAGCGTATATTAACGATTTTCAACCCCTCTGACGACGCGGCGACTATCGACGATGGCCCATTCGTTCACCGACTGCCGTTCAATTCAGTATTCGGATCGTTTTTTGCACCGTTTGTACATTACCTAGTTGCACTTTACCTCGCGGTCACCATACTAGCTAGCGACGTTGAATAAAATAGAAAACAAAAACGCATACGGTGCGTCGCGTCGTGGTTCGAAGTAGTTCAAGTTCGCAAAGTCACCAGCTAGCAAGCATGTCGGATAGTAAATTTGTAAGTTTGGAGGATACCCTTCAGAAGCATATCCCATCGGAAGAGCTGAAGGAAGTTAAGCGGATTCTGTACGGACGGGAGGATGAGTAAGTTCAAGGAAAGGGATGATTTATACATACTTTAATGCATTGCGCTCTGTGAACGGTTCATCGGTAGCCGAGTCTTATCATTGCTTGAGAAGCAGGTGATAATCACGGCAATAACATTCTTTCGGCCGCTTGTTTGAACAGCATCGTTCCATCGCGTCATAGAGCGAGAAATAAAGCCATTTGATGAATTTACGTTTATCATTTGAGTGGCGCACAGACCCAAATAGACGAGATAAACAACTGTCTCGGGGTAGAAAATGCGCGATATCTGGTGATATTCAACGATGCTTTCGGAGGGTAACGAGTTTTTCATTTATTTATTTTGTTTTCGAAAATTTTAATGCCGTCATGTGACGCCACAGAAGATGAGTTAGCTAAAAATAATGTACCGACGCATTTGCGGGGTGTGTGTTTGCAGAGAAGGTTTTGTTTGGATGTTCATCGCTCGGGTTGGTGAATTAGGAGCGATGGACAACATTTGTTTGGTTGGTGTACGGAAAATTAGGACATTGCTTATTATTCTACCGCATGGCCCATTTAGAAATGAAGCATCGAAAATTGCGCGAATTATTAATCAATGAATTTAAGACCTGTTTCGGCTTAAATATTGCGCATCTATCGCCTATCACCTAGTTGAACATTTTGATAAAACCGTAGTTCGAGGTGTTTTGCCTTAATAGTCAGCATGATAATTATTTCTGAAATTTCGATTGATTTGCAAAGTAGACAAAATTTACTGTTATAAATGCTTTAAGAGAATTAGCACAGAACAGAAGTGGAAGTGTGAACGAATCAGTGTATCAAAAAGTGTGAGAACATTGTTGTTCACCAAGCCATGCTTGTGGATGCGCGTCACACGGGCTTTCTATGGGCAATCACACCATCAAAGCATGCCACCTTCTTGCCTTCTACCGCTAGATGCGCTATTGTTCACGCAAATAATATGGACCCACTTTTGGATCCGAAATTCCATTTCTGTTCTGTGCAATGAGCCATGCTTTACAGCTACTTTGTATGCCTGTATCAAGGGCTATGGGATAACGAAACTGATACGATCGAATTTGTGCATGGACATGTAGTCCATGCATGCTGATAACTCTGATATCTATGTGCACTAGGGTGGGCCAGCTTAAGAGCCCCCTAATCCACTTTCGAACCGTATTGATGTTCCCAACAACTGTGCCAAATTTGATCGAATTGCGTGAGAGCTTTATAACTTATATGGGAAAATGTATGAGAAACGATCCGAAACTGTTCAATTGATTGTCAAAAATTCAAAAATCGATCTATTTCTACCACGACGAAGTTGTTCTGTATAGTTTTCTCAATCCAATGCCACGGATACACTTGGATGGCAAACGATGAGTATGAGCATTATTTGTATAATAAAATATGAGCATATCCGCGGTTACACTTGTATAGTTTTAGGATGTGCTCATAATTTATTAAACAAACAATGCTCATGTTCATACCCAAGTATCAATTGTATGAAGGCTATGTAGACCATGATTCAGACATGTAGAATTCTTTAAAACCTTGATAAAACTTGCAATGTTACTTGGGTAGTTTTTATCCGTGGCATAAGTCTCAGGTTTGGTAAAAATTTAGTAATTTTGGAAATGTTGTCAAGCAAATGAATAGTTTTGTTCCTTTTCCCATACATTTTGTAACGAATTCCATCAAATTCGGCGCAGTTGCTGGGGATCCCAATACGAATCGATGGAGCTGTGGGGAGCCGGGAGCTATGATCCACCCTAATGTGCACTCAGTCGAGCATTGGAAATTTGTACAATAAAAGCGATTATGCGTTATCTGAAACCTCAGAAAGCATAAATAACGTACTTTTAAGGGTTATCAATCTGTGAGTTCAGGGCTGTCATCTGATCACTTAATGTGCGCAATGTACTGATTTTCTGAAATAAACAAAGTGAGAATCAAGCAAACACAAAGTTTGCTTGCCTTTCACCATACGCAAGTGTAAAGCAGCGGAGAAGAGAAGACAGACACACGCACCCAGCAATAACGAAAGCTTATTGTGTAGTCATCGCTCCGACGGCTCCGACGCAAAGAGCGCCACCAGTGCTGCAAAATCTAGAAAATACACGGTGATATTGACAATTCTGCTTTGATCACTCATTTGAGCTAACAGTCATAGTCAAGGAAAACCATGTAAATTGTCAATGACAATGCTGTCATTGACGAACATGTGTAGATTTTTATATTAACTAAATTTGTAACGAAATTAAATGACTTGAGTAACACAATTTCATGGAGCCGTTAATGTGAACAAGCAGCTCCTAAGTAACTAAAAGTTCCGCATTCAACGGTAAAACTTAATTCCAAGTTCCATAAAGTTCAAATAAAGTTCCGATGGAACCTTCATGTTCCATAAAGTTTGAATAAAGTTTTGACAGAACTTTCAAGTTCCATAAAGTTCAACTAAAGTTCTAACAGAACTTCCAAGTTGCATAAGGTTCAAACAAAGTTCAGAAAGTGCTTTCTTCCCAAGCAACCAAAGTTCCACGTTCACCGATAAAACCCACTTTCAAGTTCCATAAAGTTCCAACACAACTTTCTGGCTACTTTAGAAGCTATAGAAAGCACACGAGGAACTTCAGGCTCTTGAAATTCAAAAAAAAGTTCCAAAAAGCATCCCTAAGCCTTAGGAACTTCCGGCAAAGCTGAAAATATGGCCACAACAAAGTTCCTAACAAGTTCCCAGCAGAACTTCTTAGCAACTTTAAAGTATCTTTAAAGTTCCATGCGGAACTTCTTAGCAACTTGAAAGTTTCTAAAAAGGTCATAGCCCACGTGAAGCAATCCGGACAAGTCTTTTTTTAGGAATAAAAATTAATGTACGTAAATATGAAATGATCAGTGACTCAAATCTATCATCTTCTTATATTTATGCAGTGCATCAATAATCTATCCAAAGATATTAAAAAAATAAAAAAGCAATTTCCTGGATTCGAACATGCAATCTTCGAACGCTAACCACTGCGCCACAAGTGTGTTGGAATACAATGCGGGCACACGCGAATTTAAAATTCATCAAGGTGTTGTATTTCATATTGAAGTCAGTCAGCTGGCACTGATAACTTCAACAGTAGGCGGAAAAACAGCTCTTTTTAATATATCTCAGATGGCATAGCGGTTCGTGCTGGGGCTCTCACGCAGGTGGACTGGGTATAATTCTTTAAACAACTCCAATGCTACTACTAATACTAATAAACCAATACACTTCATACATGGCTCTAGAAATAACTTTCATAAAAACCTGACTTAACTTTCATAAAAGTGCGAACTTAAATATAAAATTGGTGTAGAGGACAAAAACCTTTTTTTAATTTATTTTCTAAAAGTTCCATTCAAGTTCCGCCAGAAGCTGCTCAGAATGCTCTTCAATTATGGTACCAGAACTTTCAAGTTCTTGTAACGACTTAAAAATGAAGCTGCTTAGAGTTCTATAGACAACCTTCAACCAAGCTGCTTAAGCCACAAATAGCCTTTTATCACAAGGGGCAGGTTACTCTGCACACCAATCTTGGGTCATTTTTTGTCAGTGTGCCGCAAGTATGACGATTGTGCCGGTCATAGAGTAAGCTGCGATTGTTTGTAAAATACCCATCCCGGCAACCCGGTATTTATGACACCTTGAATGCTTTGGTTTGAAATCGTAAGGATAAATCGGATTGAGGATGACGCGGTAAGTGGCGAGTGTGCGAAATTTCGGTGTTTTGTGATCCATAGGGTAATAAAAGTCCTGTATTTTAGTGTTTTATAATGCCCTCAAAGGCAGACCAGAAACCTAGCCTTTCGGTCGGAAAAAGTTGGAACCGGTGGGGAGCATTGTTGGAGACCGACTATAGAGGGTGATAAATAGACTTCTTTAGTTTGTTTTGTGTGAGTAGCAGCATTATTTGAATTAAGAGTACTAATGAGGTCTGATTAACTGCCTCTTCCTCTTGAGTCCACTCTACATTTCATATTTAGATCTATAAGTGAACTGCTGGTCTGAATTCCTCTGGTATATTCAATTAGAAGATGTTCCTGAACATATAGTCAAACAGCACGTAATGTTCTGAACAACTTCAATGACAGTTGTCCACCAGTGCTCCCATTTTATTTACAACAATCTAATGCCTACGAGCTTGTGCCGAAGGTATGATGAAAATGTGCCGATGGATGTGCCCAAACTGTGCCGAATATAATTTCGGCACAATGTGCTGAGTGACTTACCCCTTGTTTTATCAGAACTTTTTGTTACTTGGGCTACGTCCTGAACTACTTGGATAACAATAATGTGACAGAGAATGTACGAAATTACACTTTTTGTTACCAGGTGAATCTTTGTCATAGACGAAAAAATGAATGAGATTTTGACTAATGTTTTTTTTTTGACGTAGGACTACGTCTGTGATTTCTAAATGGAGGTACACTTTGTGAAAACCGAAAATGGAACATGTAACAAAATAACGAAAGATTTTGAACATTAATAACTCAGCTGCCCCTGGACCAATTTCAATAATTTTATCACCAATTGATCAGAAATATTGCTACGCATCAATAACAATTCTTACAACTAATAATTTTCTTCAAAATACTATTGAAAAGTGGTAATGTCAAGCATTGTCCAATGTATAAATAAAAAGAGATAATTGTATCATTGATTTCATGAAATAAACGTTCTTCCCAAACCCAGTCGTCATAATTGAGTACCACTTGGTTGCACATCATTCTGCTTTAACCTGAAAATATATAGAAGAGCGCTGTTGTCTAGCTTCAACTCATTTTCGCTTCGGACGGCGTGGTGAGCAGGCAGCAGAAGCAGCAATAGCAGCAGTAGGAAGGTGGTGGCAGGTTAGGTACTCCACTCATCTACCCAACAAGCAACAAAGACTGGTCGTGGCATAGGAGGAAAAGGTCATACCTCGGGTCTGATCTACGAGGTGTGCTGAAGGTGTTCCTGGAAAATGTGATCCGTGATGCTGTCACCT